TACAGCTACAGGATAAACGATAAATATAGTCCTCTGAACATTTAGGGCCTGTTCGGTGATTTCCGTTCGTACAGTCCCGTTCGTACAGTCCCGTTCGTACAAGAAGTGGATATTATACTTTCAACGGTGTAAAACTCTCTTACTTGCCATCTTACTGTATTTGAATAACCTGCTTGGCGCTGCTGGACTTTTCTCTTGCCATCTTCTGCATGGACACAGAATGATCACAAGTCCATACTTATTAGTACTATTTTATACCAATTGTCAGTGGAAAATGAATCTTGATGAGTCTCAGATTGATTCGATGTTGCAATACCTTGAACCAAATAATGATCAATCTGTCCCTGCCAGCCAATGGCCGGAATCCCCTGTACCAGCCACGCAGGCTACCCTTCAGTGAGCCCCTCAGCGAGCCCCTCAGCGAGCCGCCCAGCAAGCCCCCCAGTGAGCCACCCAGCGAAGTCATACTGATTGGACCTTTCCCATGAATCTCACTATGCTCAATACATTAGTTGATGCCAAAAAACAGGGATTGAATATGGACAACAGCAATTTCAAAAGTGTTGTTTGACTCACTGTTGTTGAGACTGTTAGCAATCAGACAAATCAATCCATCATCAAAGATATATATGATAATCAATAGTGGAAATTTAAAATCAATTGAAAACTGTGATTTTGATATAAACTGCAGATATCTGAATGATTGTTCTATCAGAATAAAATGACATATATCAATGATATTAAAGTTACTGATGTGTATTTCAAAAAAAATTCAGATATACAACAGTTTCAATATCAAAAATCTGCTTATTCAGAACTCATGAAAGAATTACTTGATAAATAATTAACAATGAATGATTATTGTGACGGGTTATCATCTGTTAATAATTAACTTACGCAATCAACTCCTCTTCTGCACTCATTCATTCCTGTCATTGTGACTCTCTGTAATTTTCAATGTTCTTTCACTCTGTGCTCTGTGCTCATGTAGTCTCTAACAATTCTTCCATGTAGCCTTTAATGTTCTTTTGCCCCACACAGACCCCACAGAGGGTGTAGACAAAAAGAGTGCTGCTCAGGCATTCAAGGAATGGTGGAGAAGTCAACCCTCAACAGATCTATATGTTTTCTCAGATGGATCAGAACAGAACCTTGACAACAGCAGGCAGGTGGGCTATGGCTTCATAGTCTATCAGGGAAATAAACAGCTGGCCAGCTTCTCAGCTGCGCTGAGCCCTATGTCACATGTCTTCGACGCTGAGGCAGTTGGTGCCTGCCGGGCATTAGAGTGCGCCGTGAAGCTCCTACCTTGTGTCACAGAGGACAGCAGCAACCCTCAGATCTGGCTCTGCCTCGACAACACCTCAGTCATCTGGGGCATACGGGGCAGTGCAGCAGCCTCCTCAAACTGGGCCTACAACCGCTGCCATGAGCTCCTCAGACAGCACAATGTCGGCCTGAAATGGGCTCCTGGGCATATGGGGATAGAGGGCAATGAGGAAGCAGACCGCTTGGCTAAGCGGGCAGTCTCATCCACTGCAGCCCCAGCCTATGGTCTCGAGGCCACACCCACAGTCAGTGGGGTCCGCACAGTGGCCAAGCAGCTCAGCCAAGAGGCAAGGCGAAAGTGGTGGAGTGGAGCCTGTGGCAGGCTCTCTGACTGGTACCGGGGCTGGAGTTTCAGCAGGCAGACTGTGGAATACCAAGTGAAGGCCCCTCCGGAGCTCACCATGCCACGGCATGCCCTTCACCGCTGGCTCGCACTCCGCTCCTCTCATGGGGACTTCTCCTGGTACCACAGGCGTTTCCAGCATGCAGATGCGAGGCTCACCTGTGTCTGTGGACACAACAAGAGCCCAGAACATTTGGTGCTCTGTCGACACTCACAGAGGCACTTTCTTCACTGGCCCAAGAGGCCAGCAGCACGGCCACACAACCGGGCGACAGCTGTTGCCTATCTAGGGTCTCTGACCCCTACAGACTTTGTAGAACTGCTGGACTGCACGCAGTTCTACACACGGTACTGCACAAGGTAACGCAGCCGGCTGGCTACAAACCATCTAACAACCCCCGCAGCAGTTCCACGAGGCCGGCCTGCTGAGTACACCCACGGTAGCTAGTGCAACTGCCAGGGACATCACAGTCTATGCAGACAGTACAGATAGCACAACTAGGCTCATCTGTCTCAATTAGCTGTGGTGTAATCAGTACAGTCTACGTGTCTGACTCAGCTGATATGGTTTTGACTGCCGGCATTGTATCTACGCGTGCTCTGCTTTGTTTTCCTCTCGTTTGCCCTTGTCTCTATCGGCTCAAATGCTTCTTCTTCCTTCTTTTCTTTGCTCTCTCTGTCATTCTCTGCTCTTTTCCTGTCACAACCTTCTTCAGTGCTCTCTCCTTCATTATTTATCTTGTCTGTCTTTCTTCTGATGTTAGAAGCACAGACAGCTTTCTGATCAACTGAGAGAGGTATCCCTCTCTGCTCACTATAAAGCCTTCCAGGCACGGCAGCGGCGGTCCCCTCAGGGAACCACACTATAGCCCCACCATGAATGGCCATACGTCGGGCCAGAAGTGGATGCGCAGCTCAGAAAAATCCTTTGCAATGAGCTGAGTCTTCTCAAGAGTTGCCACCTGGATTCTGTTTTCTCTCTCTCTCTGTGTACATAGAAATCTCTCCAGCGTAGCACGTCTCCATGCCCTTCGGGAGGCTTCTGAAACACGGGCGCTGCCCGTGTTTTCTCCGGGACGTTAAACCTATACATACATACATACATAAACGCGGGTGGTCACGTGGAATCACGTGAGAGTAACTTCTCATTGACCAATCAGAGCGCAGGAATTCAGCCAATCAGAGCGCGAGAATGCTTTCCTAATCCGGATGACCGAAAGAGGAAATTTTCTGGCACGAAAAGCCTATATATATTGCTTCACTCGCTACGCTCGCTCCGCAAATAAATAAGAGTAGTTGAAGCAGCTCCACAGCAGTGCTGCATTGATTTGTCAGAAGGAATTTACTGACTCTGTATAGAAACAGAATTCTCATATCCTATCAATTGGGATCCTCTTCTATGCATCTGAATGATGTATAGAG